ACCCTCCCTCCTTTCATTTACTAATGCTTCTTCTTTTGCTCACAGTCCAATGCTGTTCGTTCTCCTCACCTTTGCTCCCAACAAGGCTCCCCACCTGTTGGGATCTCGACTTGTCACACTCCCATGGGCCGCTTGCATGTGCTTCCTGACTTTCCTGGCATGCCTGCTATTCTCATTTCTTCATTTGTTTCCACCCACAACACTCATTGCACAGGGATCTCTCCTCCAACTCTCTGAGTGGCCCCATGTTCACCAACTTCGCCTTTCTTGATGGCCTCACCTGTCTGTACGACACTCACTTGAACCATTAATCAATTGTGCTGGGCCGCTCGACGCTCTTTATGTGCCAAGGCATCGACTCACTTTCATAATCGCTGAGTGACCTTCCACAGTCTTTTCACTTCAGTTGCTAATCCAAAACATGCTGGAATGTCCTGTGACAAGTTCAATGGTGCACTGCACCTTATACTTGCTGCTATGCATCTTTTCTCTAAATGTTGCTTCTTTAGATGTTTTCCCCATCCCATTGTACCCATTGGAAGTGCCAGGTTCAACCATGTCAGTGCATGCCCCACTGAACTGATAGATGCATGCCTTAAAGTGGATGGGTGGATACATGTTGCCGCGTTGCTGTGTGCATGCGTGCGTTTACTCCCACACTTTCCGTCCAACCCATTTGAGCAGAAACCTCTTTGCTAATAACCTCAGCGGGGAGATTCCACCGGAGATTGGAGGCCTCACTTCATTGAAGTACTTGTAAGTAGGCTTGAGCAATAATCATACCCAAAGTGACCTTGTAGACAGGCTTGGAAATGTATCAAAATCGGAGCCAAAAATTTTAGTAGGCTTGAGCGATACCAAACCCTAACCAACAATTGAACTTGTAATAGGCTTGAACAAGTCCAAACCTGGCCAGCCTTGAAACTTGTAAGTGGCTTGAGCAAGTACCGAACCCGAAACAAACTTGTAAGCCGTGTGAGATAGGAAATATGCCGATCTGATGCCACAATGAAAGCACATGTTTGGCTCAAATAGAACACTCTTGCAGGAGTTACTGTGACTTGCAGCTTTTTGTGGGGTGCTGGAAATGTCTCCATGCCTTTCCTAGTCACCATCCCCATTCCATTCCCACCTTCAGAACCAATTAGCTACTATTCCGGTTAAACTTGAAATGAATGTCTGTGCAGCTGTGCCCATGATTCCTGCGTTTTCATTTCCCCTTTTCCACTGCAGCAACATTTCAGAAACCAACCTTACATGCCCACCTGACCACTCTGCTTGTGGTGTAACACAGTCTTCTACCACATCCTTTTGCCGCATGTGTAAACCCTTCTGCAATACTTGCACTAACCAATCTGCAGGTGAGTAATAAAACACCAGCCAAGTATGATTTCAGAGTTGAACGCAACGAGACACGATGTGATGCATGGCACAATGCGTTATGGAGTTGAAAGTGTTGTTCCAGAGATGTTATATCGTAAACATATTAAGGTACAGCAAGCGACAGATGGCAATGCATGGGAATGCATGGCATTGCATGGAAATACATGGCAGCGCATGGGAATGCATAGCATTTGCATATCATAAGGCATGACTGAAGAAAGAACCCCTCCCTTGCTGACTCTGTTACTGATCAGCTTGCAGCAATCCCCACTGCGTGCGTGGATCTATGCTCATGTCATTCGCAGAAATCAGCAGCGGCAGCAGCAGCAGCGCGACTTCTTCAGCAGGAGGTGGAGGTGGAGTGTCAGTGGGAGTCATCGTTGGCAGTGTTGTTGCTGCTGTGGTCATTCTCCTGCTTCTGGCCGCCACTCTGCTTTACTTCTGGCAGAAAAAGAGTACATACTGACTAACCAGAATCTGTTGATGCAGTTGTGTGTGGCTGTTTGCAATCGTGGTGTAACAAGGTGAGCAAGGTATTGGCTGCATAAGCCTAGATATGACTACGCAGGTCTGCAAGTCTAGGCATGCTTGAATCAACCAAGGTTGAAACAAGATTGACTGCTCAAATCTCTGGCCTTAAATTAAGTGAGATCGACTCGCCACGAGCAGCTTGACTTGGTGCCCGCATTTACTTCAGTCACAAACTCACAGGCCTGTAAGCCCCTTCACTTGTGGATGTACCCTAGTGGATGTAAACCCGGGCTACACAATTCTGGAACTTTAGTACGACAAGGTGTTGAGGCAGTACATGGTTCATAGATGTCAAGTTTTTGATCTGCGAAATCAGAGCTGTCTCGGAATAACCCCCTGAAACATATTAGTCGTCATTTTCATAACCCGTGAACTGACCGACAAGCCGAAAATCAACCGCGATTTTAGAAACAAGTTTCTGACCAGACTCGACGGCACATAATTGGACTGAGGCCAACCTGACTCCGCCCAACTCGAAATTACTCAACCCAACTCGTGCTCAGCCGCCTGTTTCCGTGCACCCATGTGCCATGTACTGGCAGGCACTGGCAGCAGTCTGGCAGCCGCGCACTGCACGGAGTTCTCAATGGGAGAGGTTCTCAAGGCCACCAATGGCTGGTCCCCCGACAACCAGCTGGGCGCGGGTGCCTTCGGCGATGTGTACAAGGGCATGTCTCCACGCGATGGTACCACCTTGTGGGCTGTGAAGCGTGCCAAGCTGATAGACGTGGGCTTTCAGAAGGAGGTCGGTCAGCCATAGTGGTGCAGAATGAAATTGCAAGCCAATACCTCAAATTATCAAGATTGTTCGGCTATTTGTTTGGAGATCTCTTTCACAATCTGTTTTTCTTTGCTGGTCGCTCTTTATCTCTGGCTGTGTGGATCAGATCCAGCAGATGGCCGACAAGAACCATCCCAACATTGTGAGGCTCCTTGGCTTTGCGATCGGAGGAGACTTGAGGACACAGCCAGAGCAAGTTCTCATCTATGATTACGTGCCCAATGGCGACCTTCACAAATGGATTGGTCCAAGTACGGTAGCCACTCCATTGTTATCGGTGATATTCCGCTCATGCTGTGCCACTCGTATGCTGTGTCACTCATACAGTATAGCATGACCTTGACTCCGAAGCAGCTCGCCAGTCATACGCTGTGCTTAACACATGCTGTACCTCTCATACGCTGTGCCACGCATCCTTGAGACGTGGCCTGCCCTCGGCCACTCATGCTCTGCCACTTGTTCCTTGCAGAGGCAGAACGCCCTCTGACCCTAAAGCAGCGGCTGGATATTCTCATCGGCATGGCACGAGGCTTTGAGTACCTCCATGGCTTTGGCATCGTGCATCGCGACATCAAGCCTGCCAACGTCCTTATCACCGACAACATGCAGGCAAGAATTGATTTTGGTGTCAGAATCGCTTCCTTATGCTGAAGGCAAAGCGTTTTCAGATTCTTGTGAAGCTATGCAATAATACCAGTGTGCTCTTGAGTCCTGTGCATTCTTACACCTATATGGTTGGAAAATCTCAAACTCAATATCCTACTACTTTCAGCAGCCATTTTTCAGCCTCACTCACAAGCCCTTTATGTTTTCCTCAGTCCATGCTCGGTTGTGGATAGTACCACAAGTAGTTGGCATTTGATGTCTCGTTTACATGCGTGGTCCTAAAAACGGGTTTACGTTTACGGTCAGCCAAAAGCATTGGGCTGCCCTGAAAATTAATGGCCAGGTCCAACCAATGATTTATTTTTAGAATGTTCACATAGATGACAAATCAATCTGTAGCAAAGTTTCGATAAACAATTTGGGGTGTTAATTTACTGTTACGAGATTTATGCAACATTTTTTCAGAGGTGTACGCAAAGGTGTTGCGCGACCCCACCACTTTGGGAAAACCGTTTCGACCCCTTCATAAAAGTGCGAAAGAGTTCCACCTTGGCGAATCTCGAATTCGCCAGCTAACACAATTCGCTCTGCAGGCCACACAGCTTCGTACGGACGGCCTCCTCCACAGCAGCCTTCCCTCCCGTTCCTACCTACTAGCACTTTTCCCGTCGTCGCCCATAACCAAGCCAGAACTAGATGCTCAAACTAGTTACTAAAGGACCAAGTTACTTATCTCTCCATTGGACCACACTGCTCAAGGTCCCGCAACCTAGTTTCTTTTGTGTGCTCCTAACAGATAAACGATTAACCTTTCTTGGTATTCCAGCAACCGAGTTCCGTCGACGGGTATGGCTGAAAGAAGAAACCGATTTCAGATTTGTTTTTTTCCCTGCCCGTACGACTTTACGTAAACCTACGCGTACGAAAACAAAAGCGTAAACTTACGCGTAAGTTTATGTTTACGTGACTGCGAGGAGCGTTAAGTGCCAACTCAGTAACAATTTGTCATGCTCTGTTCCTGATCTCTCATGCTACAACAACTTTCATCAAAATTACCAGGCAAAGATAGCAGATTTTGGGCTGGTGAGGATGGGGGAGGGCACGAGTGTGGGCACGACACGCATCATGGGCACACCGGGCTATGTGGATCCAGCCTACTCCAGCACGTGCAAGGCCACCACCGCCAGCGATGTGTACAGGTAAGGCAGGAAGAAGGCATTGAGAAAGCATTGCAGGAGTTCCTTGCAGGAGACGAGCCCCAAATACCATGTGTATATTACATGAGCCTGTGCATGCTGCCTCTTCGTCTCCTTCCTGTGCCCTTAGGATCCCGTGCCTCTGATTATCCCTGCCTCATCTCCACTGCTGTTCAGCTTTGGCGTGCTCATGTTGGTGGTCCTCACCGGAAAGGCACCACTCTCGGAGACTGCTGGAGAGAGTCAGAACATCACTTCGGTGGTAGGCACCTGATTTTGTGAGAGTAGCATCTTGCGCTTCATGCTCGCATGGAATTGCCTAATTGAGAGTAAGAACAAACACCGGTGGTAGGTCGTGCCACTTCTTTTCTTACCACATCAAGGCCGGCAAATCTTTCCGTAGGTACTCACCACTTACCAGCTTCTCCATAAACGCTTTGACATCATCTCCTCAATAGCACCAAAGCAATTATGTCCACACCTTCTTGATTACCTCACACTTCATGCATTTTTCCCACCCGACTCACTTCCACCATCCCATTCACTTCTACCATCCCATTCACTTCCACCATCCCATTCACTTCCACCATCCCATTCACTTCTACCATCCCATTCACTTTCACCATCCCATTCACTTCCACCATCCCATGCACTTCCACCATCCCGTTCACTTCCACCATCCCATTCACTTCCACCATCCCATTTTCTTCTACCATCCCATTCACTTTCACCATCCCGTTCACTTCCACCATCCCATTCACTTCCACCATCCCATTCACTTCCACCATCCCGTTCACTTCCACCATCCCATTCACTTCCACCATCCCATTCACTTCCACCATCCCATTCACTTCCACCATCCCATTCACTTCTACCATCCCATTCACTTCCACCATCCCATTCACTTCCACCATCCCATTCGCTTCCACCATCCCATTCACTTCCACCATCCCATTCACTTCCACCATCCCATTCACTTCCACCATCCCATTCACTCTCTCAGGTGTCGGAGTGCCTGTCCTCAGGAAACTTGGGCAGCCTCAAGGACCCCACCATGGACGCCCCAGGGGATGCTGTGCTGCGTGTGGCTCAGCTCGCCCTCACCTGCACCGCAGACCGCACTGCAGCCCGCCCAAGCATGGCACACATTGCCAACAAGCCGCAGGCCATCCGGGAGGAGTGGTTGGGGAAAGAGGAGATGAGCGCGGCTGTCAAGGTGGATGTGCAGATCGAAGAGATGAAGGATGTTGCTGCTGGTGTGAACAGCCTCGACACCGAACTTCGGATGATTGAAGACAACCTGGCTGAAGGATACGATAGGTTATATTACTGACAACTAGCATATTTCGTTTGACTGCTGAGTGAATGTCAGCAAAGCTAATAATGGTGTTTGGGAATGTTTGCGTTATGCTGGGGTTGCGTTGCGAATGAATATAGTAGCGTACCGTATTCTCCCAGACATAACACCCTAGGGTGTTATGATAAAAACAGGAAAAAAATGGGGGGGACTTCTCATTGGAAAAGGCTACATACTACCCGGGTCTATTCATATGACATTTTTTATTATAAGAATTTTGATAAATGGAGGGCTGGGTGTTTTCAAAGTTGGTTTACCATCACACTCAGAGGCGAGAACGCGAGTTTCGGCAAGTGACATCTTGACCACCTTGAAGATGGCGTGTGGCACCTCTCTGACCACTTGACAATGAAAGATTCACCAGCGTGGCGACATCGAAATTGTGGGAGGGGGGGAATCTCGGCAGATACCATTTGAAAGTTCCGTGTAATTTTGTAGAGGGAGGGATTTTCGTGTCCTCCCGTACTTGCACCTACTCGTTATCCGCAATTTCAATAAGAAATGTATATGAAAAGGGGGTGTTATAGAAAATCACCCCAAAAGGGGGGGTATAGTACAAACAGGGTCGGCTATAACACCCACCCCGCACAAGCTACCCGGGGGTGTACAATTTCGAGAAGGGGGAATACGGTACATTCCTGCCTCGAAAAAATATAATGAAATTTGATGTGCTTCGGTACGTAGTGGTACCGTCATCGCCCGGATAAAAGACATATATGTCTTATCGTATACACTAGACCCCAAACCTTACTACGGTACTGTTTAGAAAACACTGCCTTAACTCGTACACACCTACACGTGTCATATAATCAGGAACACCCATTTATTAGAGACGACCGTTTTAAAGACACCCCCTGTTTTCTATTCAACACTGTCTTATATCCGGGTGATGACGGTACTAAGGATATAGGACTTCGAGAACTCGTCAAGGCATGAATGTACCCTTTTACAATTTCTCCTGTGTATAGGACCCGAGCCCGAGGGACTTTCAAATGGTGGAATAGGTTATGATAACATTCACGAAGGCTTACCTTAGCGGATCGCTTCATAACAAGGCAGCGGACCTGTACCACTATAGGTCACACGGCAGCTCAAGAGTCACTCGAAGGTCAGCATTTGCTGTTAGTCAACGGTCGCGACTGTTGACCGCCTAGTAACCGCACACAGAGGCTACACAATGCAACATGGTTACTGTTGAGTATGGCATTTATCGCGGTTACTGTAGCAACGCAATACAGTTAATAAGGAAATGTACCCTCAGAGTACCGTCGATGGCTAGCTATGATTTATAATTATATCCTTGTACTCTTGTCTTAAAATCATCTTGTTCTCTCTCAATCATTATCAACAAGGTCACTACAAAGAATTTTATAGCCTTCTCACAAACTTGGTTAGACTTATCATATCTACTACGATTCTCGATTATATCAACATGGTATGAGAGCTAGAGAGGATTATAAGATCTGCCAAGTTCATGTTCTTCCCGGGACAACTCTTTATATACTTATCCGTTAAAATATCTGTTAGGAGTCTGCATCATTATGGCTCCTGAAGGGAAAGCTACTGCAGACTCTAAGGGCCCACCACCAACAACGACTAATGCGTCATCAGCGCTGACCTCCATCAGCGCCGCCATCGTTGAACAACTCGTTGCTCGCATTAACGCTCTTGAGAGCCATTAACCAATGAGGATCAATGGCTCAAGCTACGCCAGAGGAATTGGTGGACTACCTCCTTCTAGGAGAAGTCCGTTGGGTTACTGCGAGAGGTCTTTTACATTTGACAACCGTCAAGCTTCAGCTCCTGCACACGACAGCCAAAACGCGCACAAACAGAAGCAATTGTGACCATGCAAACAAAATTTGTTCTGACTTTAAACCTGAAAACTTCAACTCCATTCGACGGCAAAGACTTTTGCAAGTGGAGCTTCGAATTTGAACTCCTCGCAACGACCGCGCAGATCGAACAGAAGCTTACATTTTCCAACAGAAGGAACTCTCCGGAAGAAGAATCAGTACTACCACGAGTCCCTCCTCGCATACATGGCTCTCCTCCGAAACCTCTTCTGTCGTCGAGCGGCTTGGCATTCGCTCCTTCAAGACGGAGTGGGCCCCAACGTAAGTGTCTTGGGAGCACCTGCGCACTTCATACATGGCAACAGATCCAGTTGCCATGAGTCGCTTGCTCAGCCAACTAACATCAGTAAAAACGATTCAAGGGGAGAACGAGGGGCGGTATATCAATCGGTGCCATCAATTTGCGTGATCAATTCAAGAAGTGTGGCGGAACTGTCCCCGATGACATGTCTCTCTCCATAGTCCTTTCTGCACCATGTGTGAATGAGTCAGGGTGATGGTGCGGCGTGCTCTGTCCCGGGTGATCTGCAAGCCAAGGTAGCTGCGCAGTTCACCCAGGTCTGTGCACGTGTGTCTCTTCTGCAGCTCCGACTTCACCAGGGCGAGAGCCTCAGTGTCAGCAGTGGCAAAGACCAAGTCGTCGACGTACACGAGGATGTAGAACGGCGGCAGCGAAGTGTCGGTGCGTAGAAACAGCGACGGGTCAGCAGTAGAAGGCGCAAACCCAAGAGCCGCAAGTGTAGTCCTCAGTGTGTCGTGCCACTCACGTGGCGCCTGGCGGAGACCGTAGACCGGCCGCCGGAGGTTCCACTGGGTACCAGGAAGGAACGACCCAGTGAAGCCAGGGGGGCGGCGCAGCCAGATCTCCTCGTGCAGGCTGCCCTGCAAGAAAGCTGTGCTGAAGTCAAGAGAGTGAAGCTCGTAGTCACGCTGAGCGGCAACGTGCAGCAGCACCCGAAGAGTGGTTATCTTCAGGGTGGGGGAGAAGGTCTAGAAGAAGTCTACTCCCTCTCGCTGACTGAAGCCTCGAGCAACGTAACGAGCCTTGAAGACAGGCGGAGAACCTGGCGGCCGCTTCACCCTGAAAATCCACATGCCACTGACGATGTTCGCCCCAGGAGGGGGAACCTCGTCGACGTAAGTGCCAGTGGACTTCCAGGATGCCATCTCTGCGCCCATGGCTGTCTGCCACTGAGAGGAGTACTCACCCGCGATCGCCTCAGCGTAAGAGCGCGGGGTCGGGATGTCTGGTGCATCCGGGTCTCCCTCAGGTGCAATTAGCATGGACACGAGATGAGGTACAGCAGCGGCAAAGCACTCAAACTCCTCCTGCCTGTCCTCAAGGACGTCCGTGCCAAGAGCACACTCACCCCCGATGGACGGAGGACAGACAGACTCAGACTCAGACTCAGCAACAAGACTCGCAGCGTAGTCCAGACGACAGTGAGCAGCAAAGTCGACAAGCTCAGCAACTAAGGCAGACGCAGCAGCTGACTCAAAAGAAGGGTCAGTGACAGCAGTGGCCAGGAGACGTGTGACAGTAGGACTAGCAGCACGAAGAGAGTCAGACTCCGGGTCAGCAAGGGCAGGAAGAGAGGACGCAGGAGGAGAAGGCAGCGGGACACGCTGTGGAGTAGTGGAAGGACGAAGCGTCATCTGGTGAGTGCCTGGGACAGCAGGAGGACGCTGACGCGGGACACGACGACCAGTGCGAGCAGCACGAACAGGTGACGCAGAACGAGACTCAGGCGACACAGGACGAGACTCAGGCTCACGACGCTCCGTAAGACCTCCTGTCGGACCAGTGTAGGGAGAAGGACCAGGGAGTGGCGAGGCAGGCGGTAGCTGTGACAGCGACTGGACAGGCGGAGGACACTCTAAGGAGGGAGCAGGACAAGGAGGAGGCGGCTGACCAAGAACCTGCTGAAGGAGGGGAACGAAGTACGGCTGTGGCCGTGAAGTGCCCCCAGAACCAGCAGAGATAGCACCAGAGCCTCCAGCAGCAGCTCCAACTCCCTCGGTACCACCAGCAGCTCCAGTACCTCCAGCAGCACCAGCAGCACCTCCAGCAGGACCAGCACTAGTAGCACCTCCAACAGCTCCAGTACCTCCAGCAGCACCAGTAGCACCTCCAGCAGGACCAGCTCCAGCAGCTCCAGTAGCACCCCCAGTCCCAGCAGCTCCAGTACCGCCAGTACGAGCACCTCCAGGACCAGTGGCTCCAGCACCTCCAGCGCCAACCCCAGGGTCAGCAGCTACACCAACTCCAGTAGGCCCAGCGTCCTCAGCTCCAGCTCCAGTAGCACCTCCAGCGTCCACAGCACCACGGCGGCGGCGACAGTACCGAGAGTACCACTCACGCAGCTGCTGGGAAGAGAGAGCGCCCCCAGGCGCAACACCCCCAGGCTCAGGATCTCCAGGCTCAGCACCCCCAGGCACAGCACCCCCAGGCTCAGTACCCCCAGGCTCAGCACCCGCAGTCTCCGCACCCCCAGCGTCAGCACCCGCAGTCTCCGCACCCCCAGGCTCAGCACCCCCAGTCTCCGCACCCCCAGGCTCAGTACCCCCAGTCTCAGTACCCCCAGACCCAGCACCACCAGGCTCAGCACGCTCAGGCTCAGCACGCTCAGTACCTCGCGCAGGACCAGAGTCGACAGCTACCTCGACAGGCTCGACCGGGTCTACCTGGGAAACACCTGAGGGAGCAGAACCCTGGGGAGGCAGGGGGTCTACCAAAGCAGCACCTGGCGTGAGGAAGAGCGGCGGAGGGGGGAGCGGGGCAGTGCGGTAGGGGAAGAGACGGTAGAAGGGGACCGACTCGTCAAACGTGACGTCCTGAGAGGGGAAGACACGGCGCGAGGTGGGGTGGTAAAACTGCCAGCCAGGCGCGTCAGGGACAAAGCCCAGGAAGACACAAGGAACGGCGCGGGAGGAGAGCTTGTCCGCGGACGTATCGCGGACAAAGGCACGAGATCCCCAGACCCGGAACAGAGACGCATCGCCAACCTCTCCCGTCCAATGCAGTGTCGGCGAGGTCTCCGGAACGGAGACACGGGGCCAGAGGTTGAGCTGATGCGCGGCGTACCGGACCGCAAACGGCCACAGAAAATGGGGGGCAGC